TATTTTAACTACCGGTATATTTAAAATAATATTAACAGCTGTAGGTTTATTGTAGGAAATAATTGTAAATTATATATAAATTTAAAATTCACCTCAAATGCGTTTGACAATGGTATATAATTGTATCGAATGTTCCATTCAGTTCTGCAGAAACGAATTTCTCTATTATTCTTGCGTCACACGACAATTCTCGCCTGCTCCCGCTCACCCTCGCACTCTCCTTCCGAAAGCGCGTATACGTATCAGCGAACTTAGCTTTCTAGAGTTAAGTGGGTTAGATATTACAGTGGTTACAACTGTAAATGACTTTTGTTAAAGATATCAGATTGTTGTTTCGGAAATAACACGAGACACTTGCAGGAAGTTAGGTATTAATTAGAAATACGAGTTATTGATAATAACGAATATACACGCGCGGGAATAATTTTTACGCGAATAAAATGAATAGCATCGACCGGTATTTTTGTAGATATCAACGAGAGGACTTCATGTTTTCTCCTTAATTAACTCAAACTTCTCAAGAGAATTTAATTGAAACATAACAAGACTTTTGCACGCGGACCCAAAACAGATTTTCGTCCTCGCATGGAAAATAATCCACACGGACGTGAATTTGCGAGAAAAAATCGGAAGTTGGAAGTTATCTACCGACTCAATCCGCTGAAAAACGTTAGCGAAATCGCGCGGTGGTAGTTTACCCGTGGCCGGCGGACGCTACATTCGTTGATCGATCGATGTCAAAGCGCGTCTTGTCGTGTTCCATGCCGCTCGCGAGCGAGTCGCAAAAATGTGTGCCACGCGAAACATCGCATGCCAGAAATCTTTCGCCGGCCGGAGGGTGACAAGCGATGCACACGGCCGCGGTGAGTTACGCAAAATTACCCCGGCGTGCGGTTTCGTGCACGCTCGTCGCACAGGGACGGCGTCCCCGTTCGTGTTGGGATCGACGCGAAAGAAGAGCGGGGGATGAATCGGAGGTGACAGGACGCGGTGACGTGAGCTACGTGTCGAGGTCTGTTTGACCACGGCGCCCCGTCCAGCCGGTTGCATCGCAACGACCGGCTGCAACTTTGTGTCACCGTGGCGAAATTAATGCATCAGTTTTTTTTTTTGCCGGAGTTTAGCGTGTGTGTGTGTATACACTCGGAACAGCCATACGTATAAACTTGTTACATATTTTGTTTATGTAAATCCACGGAGCGGGCGGGAGATCGCTGGCGGATCTGCGACTCTCTCGTACGCATTTTAATTAATCCGACCGGAATTTTTGCCGTTGGTTTTGCGCGGCTGAATATGGGGGCTCGCGGGTTTAGTGCTCACGAAAGATTGGCGTTCGAGGCGCGATTTGCTGAAATCGCGCCGCTGTTTGCGCGAACAATACAATATATATACAATGCACATGGGAGAGTGCTGCGTTATGGCGGACAAAAAAGTGCACTTTAAATCGCGATACTTGCGCGAATATCAACGTCGGGTCGACGAAGCGAGCGGTTCACGCTGCGAATTTACGTAAGCGTCGTACTGTTACATCGCTATAATTTCGCGATGGAATCGAACCTCCTCGTAACTTTTTCCGTCCGGTGACGCGTTCGACGCGGTTCTTTTTCGCGTTTTGCCGATGTAATCGAAACGTCCGAAAATGCACGCCCGTAATTTACATCGAGCGATGCTCTCCATCATATCGATTATATAGCCGTAACAGCCGCGCGAAGACGTACAAACGTGATCTGCATGATGTATTTGCGCGACCGGAGGAAGCCGCGCGCAGCGGTCGCCCGGAGATGCGGAGTTGTAGTTTGTGTGCGAGCTCAGTAATCATCGATTCACATATTCAGCGGATTTGCCGGCCCTGCCTCGCCCGTTAGAGTCCGTTAATAAATTACCGTGACGCCTAAGTTTCGGGGATATTGCCAAGTTCGGTATTTACCTTAATCTAAATTTTCGATGAACATTCCCGGGCATCGCTAATTGCCGGAAGCTGTGTATCTTGATATTCAATCAGACCTTGCCCTATATACATGAGCACGTATTACGCTTCTGATAGCACAACTACGAATATCGATGTTCCGCTGTGCGGTATCTCATCGCCCGTAACCACTTTTTTGCAGCATGATCAATTAGCCGAGCTTAATCCGCATTTGAGGATTACGCAAGGAGGGATGAGCTCGTGTTACGAATTTTTCTCGTGAAAACGCCAGTCGACAACAGTCGGATTGAGGGATTTTTGTCTTCGATGGAGCAGGAGGAATATAAACCGCTGTTCCTCAAATTGAACGTGCAATTTTTTTGTGCAACGCGAAAACACCGAATCCGACGTTGGAGCGCAACGAGTGCTCCCAAGCGTGTCGGAGGGTCCGTTACGCTTAGCGTAAAGAGTAAATATATTTCCACTTTAATGGCGAAACGGTTATCTGCCCAAGTACATCCCCCTATCACTTAACTTCGCCGGAAGAAAAGCAAAAGATATTTATCGCCGGGTAGTAAAGTCACTCGGGCGGCCAAATCGTGAAGTTGGTACGTAATACCTTTGCTTACGTTCGCTTAACGTGTACCCATATTTACATTAGAATATAGGTCAGCGGGAACTAACGCCAAGTATTAAGCTCATACTTAAACAGTAAAATATCAACGCGTGTAACGTTAAACCGCGATATTGCGACGCCCCGAGTGCAGCAGCAGCAGTGGCGATGCGCGTCCTCGATCTGCCGGGAAACTTCGTTTTAAATCGCAATTACCGTCAGACACCGCGCCGTATGAGCCCCGAATGATTCTCACCCGAGTATCTTGTCGATGCTTTGTCAATGTCTGACGTTAATGAGCGCGAGCGCGGAACCGTATAACGACGTGAAAGGAGCTCCCATGCATTCGCGTCATTATGACTTTAATGAGATTCGTAAGGATAAATACGGATACACCCAATCTTCGAAACACGCCGAATGAGATCTTCGTACCTTCCGCCCGAGTTATCGTTAGCTCCGTCGAAACATGATGCCTTTTCTGCGCGCAACACGACGGAGAACGGATTCGACGCGCATCTTATTAACAACTTATTTAACGCTTATCGATAGAGATGTTGCGATACTACTACTGATATTGGTATCAGTAATTTTCTTTCAATATCACGTATTTTTGTATCGATATTTTCTCTCAATATTCGTACCCGTATCAGTGCTTAGTTCCGATATTTTTTCGATATCTTTCCTCTTTAATTTCTTATTCAGTCGATCTCCAAGATATCATGTATTATTCTTGCTTCATGAAAATTAGTATAACATGGAACTTACGTTTTAAACCTATCTTTTCTCATGATTTTTGTTACGCTAATTTTACAGTTATTTATTGATAGCCGAATGATCACATTACTTATATACTGTATACTATAAATTAACTCTAATACACTCATATACATACAGAGAGAGAGAGAGAGAGAGAGAGAGAGAGAGGAGGTGGAGGGGGGAGGGGGAGTGGAGAAAAATTCAATGAACGGACACATTCGAATCCGCACTGAATAACTTTCGTCTCTCGTCGTCCCGCGAAATTTCACAAATTTTCATTCCATTCCACGATACTTTCTCTTAACGTACAATTACACGACGCGGAAAGTCGTCCGAGCGGGAACTTCGATACCACGCTTATTCCTTTTAAAAGCGAGGCAAATTAATAAACCGTCGGTTTATAAGTTCCAGAAATTAGCGAGGTAGTTTAATTAATGCTCCACTGAACTTCAAATCCCCGGCGGATATTTCCGTACTTTGCAACACGTTCCTCTCTTTATAAAACAAGGAGCCCGCCTTCTCGTATTTTCCCTCATACCCGCGTTCGTGCACCGCATTTATCCACCGTCTCCCCCTCCTTCCTCCCTCCTTCTCTCTCTCTCTCTCTCCCCCTACCCCTTTACATCGGCTATGCTGCTCTCTATTCAGCTTTCATCAAATTTGAAATTGTGTCATCGGGGTCGTCCCCTTCCGACGCGTCCACCGGGATTTGTGTCATTTACGACGGCAGCGCTAATTAATCACGAGATACTTCGCTTCTTGTCATCGTTATCATTTCATGTCGTAATAGACTCTATCATCCATAGCCCCGCGCGTGAATCGTTTTGCCTGCCACAGCCCGAGTCTGTCGTAATTACGGACGGTGTTTGGATCACGAGTACTTTAAATGTAAATATAAAATGTTTCCGTGTCGACCGACATTCTCAGAATTTGTGTTCCGAAAAGGCCGTAATTCACGCGCGAATTGTCCCAATTTGCACGCCAATGTACACGTCTGATCTCGCCAAGACACCCCCTCTGCTCCTACTACCGCCGGGGCTGATTTAGAAAATCAAGATTTCGCAATTTTATCGTTAATTTAGTTAAATTGAACGAGGGTAAACTTTCTGGGCGTGAGCGGACCCCACTGCGTTCGCTCAAATTGTTAATTTCGAATTTAATTTCATTTACATTCAGATTTTAAGAATATATTTAACTGAAACTTCAGATATTAATTTGCGATGTCATCGCCGCCACGTCCACCTCATTATTAATTAGGCGTTCGCTGAAATTTTCATCCTTCTTTCGCCACGTTTCATCGCGCATTCTGCTTTAGAAGATTAATTCCGGGTATGTTTTTATAATTAAAATGCTTAAAATATTAGGATTACGCGAAAGTCTTTCTCGCCCAAGACAAGTTCTTGCAATGCGAATTTCTGAAACGCGCCGTGCCTAATGAATTCGTAATTTGCTAAGTCTGCGTCTCCTGATTATTAGGGCAAATTGCGGAGAGACGCGACGACGCGTCGTAGTCTCTCAGCAATAACGATGTATTCAGATTATTTATTCCCTCAGCATTAATGATTACCAGAACAGCCAATCGATGAAATATTAAACGGGAATTAATGAAGCGATGTCTCATTGAGCGGAATCATCATCCCCCCTGACGATGATAACGCTCTTAATAATTAATTCGTTCACGCCTCTTCAAGTTTACTCTTCAACTTTGTCTTTTATTTTTTCCAGCGCTCTCCTTCGGCCCCGATTACGCGTTGACAAGTGAAGATGTAGCGTATTTACGCCGCTTCGGTGGTTTAAGCGGTTCAACCGAGCTCAGGCGGTCGCGCACATACCGGCGGATAAACGACGGCTTCTCCCTCAAATAACTTACAAGGTACTCGATTCTTGATTTTTATTTCAGTATTTACTGTTACAGGCAGCAAGCGCAGCCAAGATGGATCGGCGGCGTTTGATCTCGCGACTTAAATGGTGCGTTCTTAGCGAGACTCGCGGATATAGAAACTCGTTTTCTATTATCCGACCGTGCCCGAGATTTTGCGCCCGTTCCCCCTTTTCCCGAAGGGAGGACGGAGGGACGACGTCATTCGGAAATTGGAAAATATATCTTCCCGGCAAAAAGGTCAACTCGATACACCTCGGCGTTGCAGCGAGATTTTTCCGGGAAGCTGCTTACGATCGTTACACGTCTGATTTATCGCATGTGTGCGCCGCGCTTTACCGCGCTTTACTATGGTCGAGCCGACGAAATTAAGTATCGCGCGATAAGTTCCTTCCCTCATTCGATACAGTCACGATGCTTTATTCACCGTTCGCTATTTACCATGCCGTTCCTGGAATTTTACGGGGCGCTTAAGTGCCGCGCACGGCGCGATCGGGTGAAAATGTTCTTTGCGGACTTTAAACCACGCGACGAAACGAAAATGGAGAAAAATCTAAACTAAAAAGAAGAGGAAGAGAGAGAGAGAGAGAGATGTTTATTGGCGCCTTAGGAGTAGTCTAATTAAATCTAGATTAAGACTAGATTAAGCTCCCTCGAGCGCTAGTGCAGTAAAAAGAAAAAGTACAGAAAAAGAAACCAAGCAACCTCACTAATACAAAAGGAAAAATAAAAGAGAAATATACATACAAATATATATACACGTACATACTGAAACTTCCGCGCGGTTATTCTTCTTCAACATAGGCGTTAATTGATAAAATTAGATTACAACGATAAAAAATATCGATTGTCTTTCGACATGGCATGGTAAATAGCGAACGGTGAATAAAGCATCGTGACTGTATCGAATGAGGGAAGGAACTTATCGCGCGATACTTAATCCAATCGAGGTGGAAATTAGTTTACGATGGAATATGGATAAGCTCAACATGATCTAGTGATATTGCAAAGCGTCAGTTTTTTATCGCGACGGATTACCGATGATGCACCGTTGTCGAATGAAAATACATATTCATAATACTTATACGAGACTGCAAAATTATTAAGCAGCAGAGTAATGTGCAAAATGTTTTATGACTAAACTGAATAAAAATGCTTTCATCTCAATAACTCAAGTATTTAATAATTCATGTAACGTGAGTGGAAAGTCGCGTAAAATCGTTACAACAGGTAATGTGCTAAAAGTGCTTTTTAGAAACAAATATAAATAATGTTTTTAAAAACATGGGGCTGAAAACCTTATTCTCTCTCTCTCTCTCTCTCTCTCTCTCTCTCTCTCTCTCTCTCTCTCTCTCTTTCTCACAATTATATTAAAAGAAAAAAGTGCTACATTCAAGTAAATATTTGTTAAGGAGTATTGGAATAATTATTTTACTTGGATTAAATAAATATTACTTGTAGCATTTTTTTATTTTATTGTACTATATTCAAATAATATTTACTTAATTCAAGTAAAATAATTACTCCAATATTCCTTAGCAAATATTCACTTGAATTATTTATTTATTTTTTTCTTTCAGCGCATTGTTTGTACTTTAAAGAAGTTTTACCGTTCGGACACGAATGCTTCATTTAGCGGATACATTCGCATTTGTCTATTTTACGTCTTCACGAATTGTTAGATGGATATGCGATATATCGTGAAACAGACACGTCTGGGAAGTAGCATTTTCCATTTCGCATTTGTAGCGGCAAGTTTTATTACGTCGGTCTCGCGTACACGTCCGCAAAGTTTGTAAAGAGAAGAGTTTGATTCACGTTACGTAGGATATTCTAGGATACGCCTTGTGCTTCCTTTCGTTTATGTATTCTCGCCGTTTATTTTTATCCTGTTTACCATTCAGCCTTCCGTACCCTCGTCGCGGACCTTTAAATTAAAGTTCAGCCGGGGCAAGACCGGCTCGAAATTAAATAGAGAATAAAGTTGCGTAATCTATTTGCGTCCTTCCGGGAAACTTATTTTATTACAATTTCTCGATTTTCAAGCGCTTATATATATATATATATACGGGTCTTGCCTCTCGGCGGTAGTTTTGTTAGACAAAGATCAACTCTGCCTTCAATTACTCACCTGTATACAGTACCTGTATACAGAAGTAAGCGCGAGAAACTTGTAAGACCCTGTCCGCTGGATTTCGAATTTCTTCCTCGCTTTCCTTCCGAGGTTTTCCTCCTCGTTCCTCGATTTCATTCATTTGCATTACACAATTACGCGAAAAGGAGCCGCGAACCGCGGAATCTTCTCCCTCACGGCGGCAATAATTNCAGAAAACATTCGCGTCGCCCCTTTTAATTATCTCGCCCCCCCCCCCCTCCTACCGTAGAAGATATTGAAGGAATCCAATGCAATGTTTCTCGCCGATCAATGCGCGAAGTAACAGGGTGAAGTCAGAGCACTACCCATTCGTCAGACTCGCACCGCGTTGCATAATTTATTTTTTACGCCGAGCGTACAAGCGGAATTTACAAGCGGCATTATTGGCGGATTAATTCGGCGCAAAGACCGTTGCGCAATCGAGATGCCGATTACGATGTGTAGGTTACGCTCGAAATTGCAAATCTCGCCGATTGTATCCGATTCGCGCGAGCGTTCCGGAAACTGCGGGAACTTTTCGCGCGCCGGCCGCGCGTTCGGGCGCAGTGTTTAATTTTAGGATAAAATCCATCGCTCAAAAGAATCGACGCGATGGGCAGATGCAGCCGGCAGAGCGTGGCGAAATCAATTCCACCGGCTAATTTCGAGACTGCCGCGGCGATTATCCGCGCGATTATAAACTTTATCTTCCGTCGGTTCCGCGAGTGCGATGAGCTCCCTCCGGTTTCAATTGTGCGTTGCCCACTTATCTGTTCTCTCTCTCTCTCTCTCTTTCTCTCTCTCGCTACGCTCAGTCGGAAATTCTGCAAAAACTCGGCAAAAACTCGCTCGTATAGATTGAAAGAGGATTATCGAGGTATCCCCGTTAAAATACGGAGATACGAATGATACGATAACGCCGCTCTCTGACAAATCGGCCGGTACTGATTAATATAACCCGCGGACGCGTTATCAAGATGCCCGTACGTTTTCCGGAAAACGCTTCGTAAACGTAATCTGTGTGCAGGCGCGCGTGTAACTATTTATCACGATCGCTTGTCGAGCACGCACATCCGCGGTCTAAAAATCGCGATACACTCTCTCTCTCTCTTTCTCTCACAGACAATTTAAAGTCAATAAAAATTTCACCGATTCTCCGTCTCTCTCTCTCTCTCTCTCTCCTTCTCTCTTTCTGCTTCTCTGGCCTTCTATTTTTAAGCAGACGCAACCGACGAGCAGACAGTTTAATTCCGAGCTAATTTTAAAGCTTAGCTCGCGATAATACATGCCATCGACTATTCTCCGTAGATTCTCCGCTATTCTCACGTACGAGGGTCTCTCAGAAAAACCCGTCACGCCGCTAACCGAACGGAGAGACAATCTGAAATGAAATAACCACCCGACGATATAATATAAACGATAGGAAAAGTGAAAGCGCGAACTGACTAATATTTATGACGTAACAAACAAAGCAAAGCACTCTCGCAAATTTACACAACGATATCGCGATGTATGCGTAAAGACGAGTTGTTTCGCCAATCGTATGATAAATACTGTAACACGCGACACCGTGTGACGAGCGCGACAAGTTTGGGATTAAAATAAATTAATGCGCGACGATGATGCGTACGACGAAAGCGGTGTGTGCGACGAGCGAGAGCGTAAAAATGTGCGAGAGAATCTCACGTTAATGCGATATCGAATTCATACTTGATAGGATCGATATACGCGCGAATCTCCCCCGCGTATTTTTCATCCTCTTTCCCGATATTTTTCCCCCTCCTTATCACGTCTCTCTCTCTCTCTCTCTCTCTCTCTCTCGTTTTCTGTGGTATCGCGACTCGCCGCTTATTCAATCGCGCCGGATAAACGCCGATGGAAATGCGCCGTGGATGTCTTTGCTGTTTAACAAGATGTCAGGAAATATCCTCGTTTGCAGGGGATTTCTTTACGTCGTCCTGTACGCACGCATAATACCACGATGCCGTCGCAATATGCCGGTGAAATCCTGGCGCGGTTGCACAACTCTACACGTACGCGTGTGTGGATGTGTGTACGATGTGTATATATGTACATTTCACTCTGGAATATTTTTAGTACGTACGCGAGTACGTAACGCGAGGGGAATTTATAATAGCGCGCGATACATCGTAAAATGTAACGAAACACATAGCGTTGAAAATGGATAAATGAGTAACGGTGAGGCATCGTCCGTTCCGAGAGAGATGAAGACGGGATCGCGATAATGTGCGGTATAATACGCGATTTATCGAGACACACTGCAGAATGGAGGATGCACAGTGCAGGGGGATATGCCCACAATTCGTTGTTTCATTTATCGCAATTAATTAATAATAAGTTTGATACGTGCGCGTAATTAAATTTACAATTACAGTAAGATAACGGGAAAACACGGCGAGATATCGGCTTCGATTTATCGGCCGAATAATAAATTTCCTCAGAACCGAACGCGAAATTCATAACGTTGTCGTAATAATGTACACTCTTTCTTTTAATTGAATTGCTCTCTACGAAATAACATGCGAAATAATCGAATTTATCTCTTTGACGTCGCGCGGAAACTGGCTATCGCGAAACTGACGTTCCAAATTGGCTACCTGCAGTTTCGAAAATGGATGCATACAGTAAACGCAAACACAAAAATACGCTTCTGTTTTAGATAGATCCGCTCACACACGTTTGAAAGTAAACCGCGCGGCTCACGGGTTCATCATTTTTGCGCTTACACCGATTTCCTGTTTTTAAATGTCGGTTGATAAATGTTTTTCGTAGTCTGATATGTGTATATGCGATGTTGTTCTTGCACGATGATAGATTTTCACAAGTGGTTAATGACGGC